CGCTGAACAGGATGAAGCCAAAATAACCCTGTGACAGGTGCTGACATTTTCTTAGGAAGCAACCAGAGTCTCTGCAGAAGGGATGACTGAAAGAGACTTATTGATGTATGACATCACACAGGTTCTGCTAACAAAAACTGCTAATCCATAGCACACGCGCTGCAGGAGCCACATTCGTCAACAGAGCTGTAAATTATGGCATTTTACATCATGTAATAGCAGAAAGTAATTCAATAAAAAAGAACCTTCTCAGAATAAGATGACTTAAACACTAAATTGTGAGATGAAAACTTATCTGATGTGCATTTTGACTTTATAGTATGTCCTATATCTGTTATCATAAAGGAGATGGGGTTTATGACTTATACTGCAGAGAGTTAGGAGGGGAAGCTTTAATCTTTTGGCTTCACTTGAGGAAAGATATTCCATTGTCCATTCTTTATGCAGTCTATGGTTCCACTAAGTTCTCTAGTTGCAATATGAATCTGTCTTCAGCAATAAGTTTCTATGAATAACAAACGCACATTGCTAATGAAACTGCTGTAAATAACAAACATTGACAAGTGCAGCCTTACATGCCCCATCAAAACCAATAATGTTAGACCTGTAATGACATACTTACAGAAGCAAACAAAGTATTCATTAAGAGTGCAAAAGAGAAAGATCTTGTGCTCAGTGACAAGGACACATTTATTTGGTCCCTGTCTGTCTTATGCTGTATGGTATAGAATATGCTAATTTAAAAGGGGTTGACTAAGGGTAGCATAATGGATGTTTTCTATGGAAGCGACAAGTGATCATAATTCAAACGAAAATGCTAATTTTAAAATGAAAATGCATTAACAGAAACGCGTTTTAACTTTCAGAATATAGGTGCATTATTTGACCTATATTTAAAATTTGCATTACACTTTTGCTCTCTATGTATGCTTTATCATTTGAATTCTGATCACTAGTTGCTTCCATAGTTTTAACTTTCTTGAGCCTTTGATATTAAAATCCAGACCAGTAAATATGAGCATGTTGCCTACACGTGCACATCACATGGTTTCTTGTTGTTATTTTTTTAGGCCTTTACCACGTTATCCCAACAGTAGCCAACATCATATTAAGTTACTCACTCTAGGTTTAATATGAGAAGCTCCAAGTTAAAAAAACATACTATATCGTCATACCTGATGTGGTTATTTGTTTTTTAGTGCAGCAGGAATAAACAGCTCTGTGCAGGTGTACTAAGGTTTTTCCAGTGTGCAAGACTGAATTTTAACCTTGACACAGCAGGTGAGTGCAGCGGTTTCCTCTCAGTGCTGAACATCCTGTCACATACCTGAGAGCTACTTCCTTTTCAGAAAAACATCAATATTTACCAGAATACACAGGAGCCTCTACATCTAAAACCCCATTTACCCACTGTTTTTCTGTTCTAGTGCCAGTTGTCTTCCTGCCAGTGCCAGCACCACCACATCTTTATTCATGTCTTTTTTCTTTCTGAATAGAGTACACCTCAGATTGACATTTTAACTGCACACACTCTCCACATTCCTCCTGCTGGACTCCAAAGTAAAGTTTACATTCCTGGGATGCTGGGAGGAATGCAGCCCAGTGGGGCTCTGGACCAGACCTCAGGATTACAAGTCAGGGATTTCTGACAGGGATGTTGAGCTACAGGTAAGATTTGAAGATGTCAACAAGCAAGGTTTCATTTACACTGACTCAAATGGTTTAACTTTGTGTTGAATCAAACAGATCAGCAGGCCAGGCGTGTACTGTACGGTGCTCTATATGGCTGTTAAAATTGCAAGTCCCTTTCACTTATGCACTTCACAATAGACTGTATATACAAGTGCATGCGTCAACCTCCTCTTGTCGAACAGGATGAAGCCAGTCTATCACCCTGATGGGTGCTGACAACGCTTCGACTTATGACAATACACATGTAAATGACCCATCAAATGGAAAACAAATCCCTCAGGGAGGTTGAATCATCAGCACACAAGATTCTTATGTGGATTTGAAGTAGGCACTCAAAGTTAGGAAAGTTCAATAACTCATGTATTTGTGTTTGTTATGTTTTCTCTCATTGTTTCTGCTGCAGGGGCCTCATTCGTCAACAGAGCTGTAAATCAAGCCATGTTATATTGGTTTATAGGATCAAAAAAATGTATAAAACAACTCAGAAATATAGACGATTTAAACACAAAATCGCACGGTAATTTCAATCATTTTGGATTTAACTTGCATTTAGATTTGATAATTTGACCCATGTCTTAAGTCAGGAGGAGCTCAAAATCTTTTGGCTTCACTTCAAGGCAGCTTGTGTTCCATCCATGTTAATATACAGTCAATGTACTGCACCTCTTAAAGTTTCTGCATTTTTCCGGTGGGCTGGAAGTGTGAACCCATATCGCCAAATTTTTCACCCTACCTTTATTCTGAATTTTTTTTGGCCAGTCTCCTTGTAAAATTTCCTGTGTGTCCTGAACTTTTTTTTAAGATAGATTTTCTGCCATTTTTGGTAAAGATTTTCTTTGCGGACAAAGTGATACCTCTAATATCTTTGCTGATTTTCTCCTGCAGTTAATGCTTCTCAGTAAAAATCCTCCTGATTTTCACCCCAGTGAAATATAGCACTCATCGAGAATCTTTACCATGAGAAATGTAAAAAGAAACTGCTGTTTCTGCATTGTCTGTCATTAGTTTTATTTGAGATCTTCATTCCAGCAGTGGTTTCAAGCATTACAAATAGCTATAAAATGATCTATCTTAAATCATAGGCTCTTTGTAGCTCATAAAGAGGCATCTGTATTACTTTCAGACCTTTTCATAACCAGACAAAAAACTCCTCAAATGACCTTTAATTTCAAATCAAACTATTTTCTGATATGTGATGATGAAGTGTGATTATATCTTGATACTGTTATGTTATATTTTACTATTACTATTTCAATTGACTTACTTTGCATCCTTTACATTGTATATCAGTACTGAAGGCAATTTCCTCAACAGAACTTTAAAGATGCATCCTCAAGTAGTAACACTTTTACATGTAAGTAAAAGTTCTTTAAAAATCACCCAAAGGAAATGGGAGATTTTGTTGGCATGCTCATTAATCAGAGCTATAGCATCCTGGGTTAAGCTAGCCCTTAAAAGTGAGAGCAGCTGCTCCCATCGGTACAGCTGCTCCCATCGGTACAGCTCTGTTGATGTGCTGTATTGCAGAAAAAGGAACAGGAGAAAATACGAGGAAATGAGAGTAGGGTAAGTGTGCAGGAAAGGAATGGTTATAAATAGGCTTCAGATAAGTACAGGGCTAATGCTAACACAATTGAGCAGAAAAAATACACTACTCTCATGCAGTTAGTACTTCATCTGATGATAATTATAATTAACAGATCCACACCCTGGAGGAGACAAGGGTACAGTATCTCACTCAAGGACACTTGTGCATGATGGCTGCTGGAGGGCTTGAAACTCAGCAGCCAGTCTGAAGGACAGTCATGACTTTGATCTAATCTTATTAGCATGATCAGACCAGATCCATCTCACTTGGGAGACATCAAAGCCTTTACTGATTCGCTGTGATAAATGTAGTTTAGTAGAGCTTGGATTTATTCAATCTCTAGATATTATTTTATAAAACTGGTTTAATCCTTCCATATGTACAGGATTGTTAAAAGTTGGCAACAACAGTATGTGTTCCTGTTCTATCATTACACCTTTAATGAAGCCAGTAGAAGAGAACAGCATTAGTGTTATGGTAAGGACAGTAGGGGGGGTTATGGTAAACAGTTCAGCACTGCCCCCTGCTGGCAGAATTAAATATATATTTAGATCTGCTGCAAGGATGCAAAGACAGACTTTAATTCTACCAAATTCAAACAAGGTTATTCAACAGGTAGTGTTTTCAGGAAGTATAAAATGATAATAATTTCTTCAAAATATTTTATATTTACAATAAAATACAGACTTTTAATCAATCTTGTGAAAATATAAAAATATGCTGATAAGACAATTTGCATTGTGAGTTTATGAAAAAGTTGTTGATGCTCATACGTAGAAATTGTAATTTCAAAGTCATGAACATAAGCTATAAAAATTATCTTATTTGTGACACATTTTAACAGTAAATCCACACTTTTTAGACGGGACACCATTGTACACCTGCTTATACTTACAACATACATTTTTCTCAAACTCTTTAATATGGCACCTAAAACATGTTCAATTAGAGGGTCGTCTTGAACTGGAATTAGTTGCAACACTAAGGTGTTATATGAAAGACTTGTTCATTAATCTAAGTTACCACATCATCATTTTAAAATACAAAGTCATATAAAAAAGTACGTCATTATTTGGAAAAAAGTAGGCATTAGAGATAAAAGATCATTATTTGAGAGTTAAGTTAATCATTGGAGAAAGTTTCACAAGTTAAAATTATATTTTCTTCTCTAATCAAGAGGGCATCAATGGGGCTTTCTCATGTTATTGAGGGAGGGTAGACCTTTACTCATGTCCCAAATACTATTCTTCCCATCTTCACTTTTATTACCTCTAACAGCTTTTCCCAAACCACGTGAAGTGCTTTTTTCAAGGTGTACATTCAATTAAATCAGAGCCACAGCGGTCACTCAATCACATATTATTCTGTTTAAATGAAAGACTGAGATTGTTACCTTCAGGTTATTGCAAACAAAATGCCAGATATACTGTGAATTTGACAGTTGAGTCAACAACATTCAGTTTTATTTATAAATGTACGTGCACCATTCAGAACCTTCTGACTTTGTTGAGTCTATAATCTCATCATCAATCGTTTATGTAATGTTTTAATAGAAAAAAACAACCATAAAATATGTTGAAATGAAATGAGGCAGTTTTGGCATATTTTAATACAGATCTAACATATTGTATTTTTACTTCAGAAAATATAGTTACTAACCGATGTAACCAATACTTCAAACTTGTGTCTGAAAAAAGAAAAAGAAAGTGGTGAATTCAAATTTAGTTCAAAATAATAATTTATTTCATTTTATTCATCAGAATGTTATTACATTTACCTTCAGTAAAAATCATTTTTCTCATTAAGGTTCAGAACATTCAGATAATGTATTCACCTGCATATAGTAGGCAGCTGAATTGCAGAAGATCAAAATACACATGTAGTCATAATTTTATATTTTTGTCAAATAGTTGTAGCAAACAAGCATTAGTGGTTGCCATAACTAACTATACTTTTCTGTAAGTTTGGATTTGGTGGGTGGTCTTTCTCAGAAAAATGTGAGGCTCCCTGAGAGGTATGTTTGTACATCAAGGGCTAAGTTTCTATCTGCATTTACACGACCAACAGAAATAATGAAGCAAGGAAGACAGCAAGCAGTTTGTATTAGACACACAACAAGATGGAGACTCCATGGTCAGAGTTGTGTATGCTGAGTGTCACTTGGTATGTGAAAACAACAGAGTTGCAATGGAGGCATTCTAGTTTAGGAAATTGTCTGTTTTTGGTTTATTGGTTAAAGCTATCTTTCCAAGATGCATTAGCAACTCTCAAGGAGAAGCTCTAAATGTCCGTCTTGGCACCGTTTCAAAAACTAAAAAACAACAATATGCAAATTGCCAAGAAGATCCTAAAATATAAAATCTTCCAGACAGAAAGGGCTTTATGAGAGGAGCCCCTGCACAATCACAATCAACCCTCCCAGGTGTTTTCACTTACCTACGCAGATTAGACCTCTCCTCTTGGCTATGGCTACCTTCAACATGTAACGAGGTTTAAGCAGCAACATGATTAAAACACCCGTGTGAAATGTAAGGTGCTTTGAAAAGTACCTACGGTAGAAGTTTATATTCCAACAAACTATAAACTCTTCATTGACCTTTACCTGCGTTATCTACATACGCTTAAATTATTTGTGTGCAATCATCAACAATGTGGACAATTTTATTAACTTCCATGTCATATCTTTAAACAATTTGTAAGCCCCCAAGGTAGCACACCAACTATTTACAGTAACAACACATTTTTTTGATTACATGGAATGATTGGTGGATCGAGGAGTGTGTTGTCCTGACGACAAAACTAAGGTTGTGTAAGTGCAGTTACTCTGATTTACAAATTTGAACAGATTTAACTCTTAATTTTGATTATTTATATTGATATATAGAGAGATTATATACAACATAGATTCAAATCACTGAATTAAAATGAACTGTCTATTGACCAAAGCTGGCTTTTGTTTATTCTAAGATCAACATGTTAATGGTCATTTAGTAAGTTGCAAAAAAAGAAAAAATGCATTTTCATATGAAGTCAGATATAGAAGTAGCTGCAGCAAAGATGTAGATCTGATGGTTACCTGCCTCAAACATCACACTGCTTTATTGCAGTCCAGCTTATCTCAACGGTTTCTCATTCAACATTCAAAGTGGTGGAGCAAACAAGGATGCCACTGAATGCACCATGAGTACCTTTCACAGTCAGGTGACAACTACAATGATTGAACTTTCCTGTCAAAAGGTATCCATGTTAAAAGGCAGCAGTTATAGCATTTATGTATTGCATTCTTTTTTTTTTTTTTATTATTTAAATTGCTGAAATAATCCGGATTAAACGACAAAGTTACCAGCACTAGTTTTGCTTTTCACAGTGAAGGAGTGTACAGTCACAACATGAGGACTGAAATGTCTTACAATAAAAACAAGTTGAAGAAGGACAAACTGTCACAATGACTCTCCCCATGAGTGGGATGAGAAAACGGAGGGGAAGAGGAAAGCAAGGACTACTCTTTACCCTTGGTGTCCAGGTTGATGACTGAACAGGAGAGAGGACATGGCCGACAAGAGGATGAAGAGGAAACAGGCATCAGTTCTTGAGAGCGCCCCAGATGATGAGTCCAATTATAACAGCAACAACACCCAACACTATTATGAGGATGCATATCTTCTTCCGGGAGCTCCGCTGGTGGGAGGGAAAAGACAGTTCAAGTTTCTTTTTTTTTTTTTTTTTCAAATTAAGTACAGTGCACAAATGTAATGTTTTACTAAGGGTAGCTGGTGGGTTGGAGTGACTAATAGCCACCGCATGAATCAGATCACTTTTTGACCTCAAATTTTCTTTGATTTTCTCCTTTACGCCTCATTCTCTCTGCATGATCGACCAAAGCAAGCTGACTGAGAGTCTTTGTAAGACAAGGGAGGTGGACCAGCGATTCATGACCACTTGCTACTTACATTCATCAGCTAACTCCTTTAACATATAAGCAAATGAATTCCTTCTCCTCCTACTCCTCCTCTGTCCTTAACCCCTTCTTTTGTGGATGTCATTTCTCACTTCTTTCCATCATATAGTCAAATTTTACCTGGTATTCTGCAGCGCGGGCCAGCTGCTGTGTGGCATTCTGGACATTCACATCTGCATTCTCCACGTTGGCTTCTATACTGTCTGCAGAACACAAAGAAATGAGCAAAATATAGATTTAGCAGGAGGAACAACTGGAGAGGAGAAATTAACTGAACCTTTTTTTTTTTTTTTTACCCTTTCAGACACATTCGATATACTGATTACAATAGCTTGACTTGAGTATTGGCTGATAAGAGGTAGCCCTTAAACATGAGTGTGATTCTAAAATAAAATCTAAATCTGAAGGCTGCACTACCAACCTTGTATTAACGTGCTAAGAATTCCATTGTTGCTGTGTGGCATAGCCCGGTACACTCTTGGAATCCTGGCAAGCTAACCTTACGTTTGTTTGAATATCAGCCTCAGAGTCAGTGAGTATGGCATCTAGGGAGTGAGCTAGGATTCAATGCTGAACACTCTGGAGGTGTCGTGGGCCTATCAGTGACACACTGAGTAAGGAGTGAGCCCACTTGAAAACCCAACGGATGCCTTCATTCCCTTGAATATCCCACAGAGTCTTTGTATTATTATTGTACATTTATTATGTTTAACTTTCTTTCTTCATGAAATAAAAAACAGGCTTAAAATGTGTGATAAAAACACAGATTTTGCTTTGTTGTTTTTTTTGCTAGTACAACACTAGCTTACACAAACACTTTTTAGCACTCTCCTTCTTTTCTGATCTTTAACAGTATTCACTAGTAGCAGCCTTAACATATATTGTTGTGTGAGCTAAGGTTAAAGAATTTAACCTTTTGGGGTCTAATCCATGCATTGACTGGCATACATGCTGGAACCCAATGCTACATGTCTGGAAGAATACTGTTATGTGTATTGGAACAACTTCATTCGAGAACACATGTGGTGAATACAGTGCTTACCACCTTTATTTAGCTGTCATAAAATAAAAACATCTCAGTGGTGAACTATAGAGTAATCTATGAACGGGTGACAAAGACTGACCTATCATGTCTCCCTGCTCGTGCACCATCATCCCCAGGTCCTTGAAGATGTCATTGATGTCTGTGATGTCAGACTGAACAATGCAAAACAGGAGAAATGGCCCACGTGAACTCGAGGCAAACATGAAACACAGAGATACTGATATACTTTGCATCTAAAATGATAATTTATTTTACCTCCAACTGCCTGATGGACAACTCTCTCTCCTGGATCAGCCTCAGGTCTTCTTCAGTGATCTCCTCAGCCTGAGCCTGAACCTGAGAGTCACTGCAGGAGGAAACCATGTAAATATAATAATAATAATACTCACAATTACAGGATTAATTATAAAGAACATAAGGAAAGCTACCTGGAGAAAGAAGCATTTCCAAAGCTGTCGTCAGGCTGTCCTCCCTGTTAAAGTAAAATAGCATTAGTCTCAGAGGAGGATGCTTTGTACCAGATTTAGGTAACTAGCTAGTTTCCATCTGTTGTCGCTGAGTAGAAATACAAATACTGTGCTTGTTAGTGCTAATATTTTTAAGAGGACATTATTAACTGTCAGTAAAGGTAAATGGCTGGATAAAACCTACAGGGCCCATGACCATTAAACACATTAAATATAATTATTAAAACACAAAAGGCAAACTAACAAAGAACAAATCAAATCTGTGTCCTTCAATTCCAAAGGCTAAGATTTTTTTTTAACCTATTACAGCAGTAACAAACTGTTGTTGCTCATCAGCATAGACACGTTATTATTATCTGTGCTGTGCGATAAGGGGACAGAGGAGCTCCAGCAGGCAGGCTCTCTTGAGAGAATCTGTATGTGAAACAGCCACAATGAAAGCTTCTGACTACGGCACAGTTAAGTTACATCCTGTGAGACTTTAAATTCATATGAACTCACAGCTTAATTAGAGACACCAACAAACAATAAAGACTGAACAGAGTTTCGCCCTGACTTACATTTTTATTAGTAACAATACAAGAAAGTTTACATAAAAACATCAATAAAGTGAAAAACATGTACAACTTTGAAGAACACAAGGTCTTTTGGGTTCAAAGTGCAGCCTATGAAGCATTCGTGGGTGGCACAACTCTTCTGTTTGCCTGTTTCTATGATGTGATTGATACATCTGATTGATAACGAGGTAAGAACAGCCTTAGATAAGCTCTGGAATTGGCTACACCAAGATTACCAGTAGGTCCACCATCTCTGCCAGGGCCTAGAGGTCAGGTGATAGCCAAAGGGCTCCGAGATTAAGTCTTGACAAAGACAGCATGAAGCAAAATAAAACAAGAATTGCCACCTCGCAGTTATAGTCCAAGTTTCAGTTTCAATCCACCGATTTGAATCTTGAAAAAGTTTGAATTAGTCTAAAAACTAGTAGGCCTGTATTAATCAATGGAAGATGCATGTCATATATTAACAGGACAAAATAAAATAACAGTGAACCACCGTCTTCCTTCATGAAGTCAGAAGAAACATGTACGCAACGGGAGGTTTGCCCATTCATCAATCACATACGGCCTAATTTTGTCAGATGGATAAAAAACATATTGAATGCCAATTTATGCCGCTGTCTAATCACTGGTCTACGTCATGACATTCATTATCAAGCTGTAGGTTACTCACCGACACCCGGGAGCTGGCTCTCACTCTGGCCACAAACTCTCTTCTTTGTCTGCCGCCTGCCTCTGGATCTTTTGGAAGCTGGTGAGGGCGTTGGAGAAGTCATTCAACAGACGCTCTTTCTGTATCTTCCTCTGCCGCTAAAACACAAATGTTCAGAGACAGGCCACGAATCAAAGACCAAAAAATAAGAGAGAACACAACTTAAATAATTATTTAAAAAAAAAAAAAAAAAAAGTTCAGTATTCAGTACCTGATCGGGGCCAACAGGTAGTGCAGTGAAAGTCTTCATCAGTCTGTCAGTCTCCTTTGCTAGCTGGTTGCCTTGCTGCTGTGTCTGTTGCCTGGTAAATACAATGTTTTAGTCTTTATGTGAAGCACAAAAACTCTGGACGACATTAAGAAAACAACTGTTAAAAAGACATTTGGAAGACTCAGATATCATTGAAGCCTTGTTTCAAATGACGAACAAAATGCATTATGGTTATCAATCCAGTGTGACTTTTCCCTGACTGATTATTAAACATTTCTTTGACATGCATGGTTCAGAGCCTTTGAAAAAACTGTTTCTTCACCTGCTATTTGTACAATTATTTTAATTTTGTTAATAAACTCAGCCCCCATAACTCACAGCGTGTTTCTAAACTGGTTGCTGTCCTGCGCGGGTCCCTGCAGAGAAATGGTTCTCTGTAGCTCCGAGGCTGCGAGAAGAAAGACAACAGACATTATGATATCTCTACTGAATTAGCTCCTTGTGTTCTCTGTGATTCGTCACTAAAGTCACTATAGTATATTGTATTTTGTGTGTACAGTATAAAGTGTGTATTACTCAGCAGTGTGAGCTTCTGGATGTTGGAGCTGATGCTATTAACCAAAGCGCTGGGCTCCTGAAGAATCCCAGCCTGGTACGCCATGATGGAGAGCTGTGAGGACACACAATAACACAATCCATCATTTCAAGTATTTATTCATGCTGTCACATCAGTATGTTCACAACTCGCATTATCAAAAAAAGCAATGAAATTGTTTTACATGAAAATATGGTCCAACAAATGTCTGTACTAAGGCTATCAAATGATTTGTACTGTTTGTTTTTTTTAAGATTTCTTTTTGGGCTTTTTGTACCTTTATTGTAGAGATAGGAAAGTGGATAGAGTCGGAATCAGGGAAAGAAGTCATTTAAGGATACCTTTCCGATAGAAAAGGACAGCTGTCATTAAAAGTAACCCATGAACACCAAGATTCCTTCAAGTGTTTGTGTCGTCGTGTCGCATGTCGGCATCTCGGCATCGGCTTGTCCCCACCCCCCCAAAGCTGTAAACCTGGGGGAAACACTGTGAGGGTATACTTTCTGTTTGAATTCAACCCTGCTTTTATTTTGAAATAAAATAAGTAAAGTAAGGACCTTGTGGTAGATCTAAGGTTATCACATTAACTTAATCATGGAAAAGGAAAAAACTAAAAAAAACATTTTAAAGCTACGGTAAAAAGTGAAATGTTTGATGTCCTGAGGTGGAAATTACTTTTGACTTGTCAGCTGAGATGTCTGAGAGTTTTTTAAAAGTGAAATAAGACATTCAAAGATGCAGCAGTGTTGTTCTTTTCCATCACTGACACTGCAGAGGCTTAACCACAGTGGGACTTGTCACAAGACGTTGGCCACAGCGAAGAATGATATGAGTGGCAAGTATACTGTTTACAACACAAAATGGTCAGAGACAACCTCCAAAAATAATTTCCTGACATGTTTGCTAAACATCTCACTCCAAAAAGTTGGAAATGAATGGCCTCTAACCATCAGAGTGACTTTAAATAAGATTTAAAAAGCTTGCAGCAGAGATTTTAAGTCATAACAACAATGTTTTTAAGCCAAAGCTGTGAATATAGTTAAAATAAAGGCTTCATAAAGATGTGTCAAGCTATGCCAAACCTAAAACCATTTCTTCCTTGACATCATCATAAACTTTAAGACTCAAATATGGATTCTCAACGAAGATTACTGGCACCCCAGGGGGTATTCAAGGTATGAACAGGTAAAAGGAAAAATCGAAGAAGTCAGCTAATATAGAAAAATAGTAACTGTTATTTGACAATAAAATTTGCAGTGTTTAAATATTTGTGATGAAAGGGGAAAAAAATCAAAAATGATAAAACATTGCAGTGCTGTAGCCTACAGCAGTGAGGTCACGCCCCATGTACAGTCATTCCCCACCCTCTCTCCCAATTTCCTACTCTATCCACTGTCCTATCATTTAAAAGGCAAATCAAGCTGTTGTAAATCAAGCCCATAGCTTTATCACTGTGTATTGTAAATGATAAGCTAAAGATAATGTTGAAGATGACAGTTCATATAAAATCTCCAAACAGCTCATTTATTTCATAATTTTTTTATTGAGAAATTAGCTCACTAAATGCAATCTCCAAAAAAATATTTATTATTATCAATTATTTATTATTGCAGCGTCTTTTAAACTGAGCAGTGGCTCTCATTTACTTCGGCTCCTGGATGAAGCCTGATACGCAGCAGGATTGGTCAGGAGGTCAGGAGTGATTATTATTGTAGGCAGCTCTTGCAGCACTTCTGACTCATCAGGACTGAAACCATTTTCTTATATGTGCAAGAGTGACCATATGCTAAGAAACTCTCAAACGAGGCGCTGATTTAACTTTTGGCAGAAGTAATGCTGTTGAAATGTAACTAATACAAGTCCCCGCATTAATAAAACCAGTCGAACAACACCTGTCTGTCATACGAGTGTGTCTGGTCCCTTTTACCCTACTTCAGAAACAGTCAGCAAGAAATATGCGGAAATCACGGAAGCTTCCCGATGACAGTAAGAAGGCTGCTAGAAAAGCACTATTTGCTTGTGAGACAATGTCTGGGTTAAAGTCGTTTTAAATGTAATGTTTATTCCACTGTTGACTCCAACATGCAGAGGGTAGAAAAGTATTTTAGTCACAATCAAAGTCGCAAGATTTTTTTTCACTCGTGTTTCAGAGAAACCCCCATTCTTTTCTTTGCTGTCCTTAACACGACGTGGCATCCATCACAACATGTTCACCGTGTTAATGCCTCTGTGTTGATAATTCTTCATAAAAGATGAGAGCAGTGGTGTAAAAGATTCAACTTTACCTTCTTTGCGACTTGACGCAGCGGTGTATTTCCGGACTCTCAGCCACTTCCCCGTCACATGATGTCTGCTTTCCCTGAAGTCTGCAGAAAAAAAAACTGAACTATCATATTATGAATCCATTCAATATTATGTCTACATTTCTCAATTCAGAAGTAAAGTACATTTCGCAAAAAGAAAAACATTACCTCCGCCACATAACAAACAAACTCCCAAGACCTAGAGACACTTGTCATTTGTTATAATTGTCTGAACTGCTGATCCTCTGTACACTTTTTTTATGTTACTTTATATCTTAGTCTTTTTAATTTTTCAATCCCTGGCATGTTATGTATTTTGCACAACCAAATGCACCATTTCATTATGGTCAATATGGCTAGTTAAAAAGAAAGACTTTGCTTTACTATTGAATGAAGGGCTTCAAAAGTGAACCAAAATATGCCATATTTCTTATTTGTTTGCACTCAACACTCACAGTCATCCATAAATTGCATTCACAATCGTTTTATCTGACATAATATATGATTGCTTAATCTGAAATTAGCAGAAAATGAAATGGCTTTAAATTTGTTTTAATTTGTGATGCAGAATTCTGAGTTACATATATCTCCAAAACATCCACTTAAGTAATAATACCACAATATAACACTCGTTATTGTATTTTTAGCCTCTATTCACCTTTTACTGTACACAACTGGGATGATTAACTTTTTCCTTTCACAAATATCCACCTTGTTTAGAAAAAAACACAAGAAGACCCAGAATATGTTGTAGGAGTTACAAGAGCTCAACTCTGCCACCTTGTTTCTAAAATTGGTTATAGCCAGTGAGAGTAGCAGGACATTTGACCATGTAGTACTTCATACTACGTCACTTTATTTTACCAGCATAAATACAGTTCATATAGTTAATATTATGCAAACAACTTTATGGTTTCCCCTAGTGTAATATACCATTTTGTGTTTTTGTTTTGAATTGTCATTCATATCTGATGCCATCACTTACAGTAATACAAACTATGGACTATGGTTTGCTTTAGTAAAATTTATGTTTTGTGTTCAAAATAACTGTTACATAAATCTTGTCAGTCGTGTGTCAGGTTTCTGTTTCCTTTGAATAATGGCGGGAAGCTGATTCCATATATAAATGTTAGGAAACATTGTGTGTTTATAGAGCACCAACCACGACATATGAATATGATATGATTCTAATAGGATGTAATGATATTAGCCAGCAATGGCATTTCAAAGGAGGTAAACTTAAGTCATTCATTCACTCAAATAATTTATTTTCCAGTTTGAATACAATTATGTGTAACTGTCAGTAAATCTATTAAGTCAGAACCCTCATAAAATCAATAATTAAGCCTCCATCGGTAGTGATTGTCTTGTCAAAATGTGCAAGACCTTTAGTCGGTCTGCTTTCTCTGCAAAGGGGTCAACACTTTTGAAGTGCTCACATGAACAGCTTACTGGTCCATGTCTGATCATGTTTACTTTGTTTTATTGCCTATATATGTATGTAACTGCAAATGTGTTGCATCTCTGTTGTTATCTCACTATATTTTCCTCTTTCTTTTTCTATTTTCATTCTCATTATTCTACTTTTATTTTTCTCTTAAAAGCGTCCTACTGACAAGTGTTGAGAATTAGCTTGTGTGTCAAAACACTCAAACAACGCTGGTTCTGGTTCGTCCAATGTGATTGTGATGTCCACGTTAAATCAAAATCTAACTTTCCTTTATACTTTCCCAAGAACACTTTTCTTACAATTAATCACATTTTTGGGCTGATGTGGCTCAGTTGGTAGAGTCGTCGCCACTTTGGTGGCAGTGTATGAATGGATTAGTGTTGTACTTACTCTCTGATGTAAGTTGCTTTGGATTAAAGCATCTGCTAAGTGAATCATAGATTTTTTTTAAATCCATATTCAAGGACTTTGCCCTGCTATCTGTTAGCTCTTTACGTGAGAGCACATAGATCAAAATACTTCTGGTAGGTGCTATAGTACTGAAGTGGACATTTATTAATGGTATCCACTACATCGTGATTTCACTAATGGTGTTTTTTTTTTTCAAACAGATAAATCAGTGAACCCATCTGGTTGTGAGGAATTAAAAGCCTTTATTGAAGTTTAAAAAATACCAACAACTACAACCATGTCAATAAAAATTAACAACAATAATTGTAACAAATGTACTTAAAGTATCATTAAGTATTTGGTATTATGCAGAAGAGATACTGCGAGAATATTATTAAATGGATCAAATTGTTATGTTGTCATCATCATCTATGTTTTGTTTTTATTCTTTAATAATCAAGATATTAGATTTGCTGTTTGTCTTGCTAACAGCTAGTAGCCATTGTAGTGAGAACGCCCATGAAAGTGAAGGAGTTGTAATTTGTAGTCAGCAAGACCTGCTCCAACAGTTCTCTGCCTTTCTCTCTTGCCACCACGGAGCACATGGCTTTTTTCCACATATTCACCAAGGTCCCACCTGGCAGATGAAAAAAGTAACAATGGTCTTTTAGGCTCAGAGAAAAGCAAAACAATTTGATATTAGAATATTTGTGTGCCTGTGTGTGACTATCGTACCCAGAGTTGTGTTGATGCTATCCATCCAGGAGAAGGTATACAGGGAGTTGTTCTCCTCAGTACTCAGACCTTCAATGTTAGGGGCAACATCACCCTCCTTGATGTACAGGTATGACACAGGGAACACATTTACAGAAGTATTCAGATCAAAGAAATGTCATTTTGAAATATTTGTATGGACGTGGTTGTGGGTACGTACCTTTAAGACTCGACCAGGCAAAGGGATCAAAAACTTTGAAGCCTTTTCCAAGTTGGATTGGAAATGTGCAGCAGCAACATACTCTGCTGAGTTCTGCCAGCTGTTTGCAAATGACACCTCTGGAGCGGAGTAGTGGCTCTTCCTGGAGGGGAGGATAGGACAGAAAGTGTTCAGACATCAGAGAGTTTGAAGGATTTGTTCATATTTTTCAGGAATAGGCTTGGATGTTTTGTTGCAGATTTTGATGACAAGAATGAAAATAATATAAACACCTAAATATAATGTCTAAAACATTCAGATTGTCTCAATCACTACAGGAGTCAATGAAGATAGCAGTGGAAAAAGGTCGCGGTAGATGAGAGAAGAAGAAGAACTAAGAAATCAGTTAGCAATGCTTAAAAGTGCAAAATATCTTATTGGTAATGTTCAGCCAAGAAAATGTGTGACAACTTCACAACAAGAGGTGGAGGAACATTTGGAAAAGCACCCCTCTGTTGCAATGACAAATAGAGAAATGGGCCTTCCACCTGGTATTCAGACATAGAACTTAGTATGTTCAGCAAACATGGTGGAAGGAGGAGGAGGCTGTGATAAGGCAAGCAAAAGCATGCATGATGTCATTGCCAAATACATTGCTTTTAGTAATTTTTGGGCCTTTTTGCCTTTAATGGATAGGACAACTGAAGAGAGACAGGGCATGTTGAGAGAGTGGGGGGTGACATGCAACACCAAGCCAAGGGCCATGAGGACTATGTCCTCCGTACAAGGGGTCACCTTAACCGTTAGGCTATCTGCTTGGTGTCACAATAAAACCTCTGGACTTCACTTTTTGGTTATGTTTCGCTGTTGTTGCCTTTTTTTTAAATGCAAAAATCCATCAGATACAGGCTTGCTGTGTAATATCGTTATTGATATATTTTCTTCATATTTTTGATTAAGGAAAATCAAATGTTATCATATATTTCTAAGCAATAATCAGATTTAATTTGTTACAGCGCTCACGATACCATGCTCATAAGCTTTTAGTTTTCATACAATGGTTGATGGGTGGGGGGAGGAGCAGGGACGGACTGGGGCTAAAAAAAAAAGGCCCTGGACTTTTTCCAAAATTTGTCCCACAACCCATACACGATTTCATGTTTAAATAACCACTTGCCAGCGTTTCAAGATACTATACCACACGCCTACTAGACTGAAGATATTCACAGATAATAACATTCAATCAATCAATGATCATTTCTGAGGTGTTTATTTATAACAAAACTACAATAAAACTACAATTAAAACAAAGTATTTCAGAACACTCTCAAAGAAGGTAGTCTCCCTGTCATCTTTTGAGCTGCAACTATCTTCAGCCTGAGTTAAATGATTTAAAATATATATGTATGTTGTTAGGCGATATACATAGCTAGTTGATTGTATAACACAAGATGCTTAAGAATTACCCTTAAATAACCAATTTAATATTTCAATATCATAACCTACCCTTTAATAAATTAAACTGTCCAAGTATGAGGACAATGGCTGTACCTAGGCTACTTTTAATTAGGCTCTGTCATTTTTAAGAAAAGAGGACAAAACACGAAACACTGGAAATTAATGAAATATTGCGTTATTGGTTCGTTCGTGATATTTCACGCATTAACGTTGTTGGCCCCACACACGTCAGGTTGGACTGCCCTGAATCGTGGTGAAAACTCGACGTTCATAGCAACATAATCCAAATAAAAAAATAGGTTAGCCTATTATAGCCTACTTATGTATTGCTTCTGCAATTTACCAGCACCTCTTGCTCTTCTTCGCTCGTCTGTCCCTGCACTACCGGGGGATGCTCTGTCTCAACCTCCTCCTCTAGGTCGTCCTCCGCAGTCTTGCATGGCTCTATAGGCCTACTAAATAGCTCAGTAAGCTTTTTACATTTTGATGCCTCCGCCTCTAATGATTTGGCCCTCTTCTATTTCGATTTCTCTCAGCCACCTTTCTCCTTACGCTTTCTACCTGACATTTTGACATTAATATCGCTGATCATTTTTTTCTTCTTCTGATGAGCCACATAGGCCACATAAAGGGACGGCCGTTCTGGACTTTGACAGTCCGCCCCTGGAGAGGAGTAGAGAAGTTAGGATTGTTATTGGCTTTTAGAGCTGACGCCAGGTAGTTGGGTCGAAAAGACCAGTCCTTTAAGCGTTATTGACTGTGTTGTCAACCTTTGGTCCCTCTCCCAAAGCAGATTTGGCAGAATGCCCAAAGCCCACTACGTTCCACAAATTCTCTTAACTTAT